CCGGCCCGGTGGCGCACTCGGTAGAGTGCAGCGCTTGGGAGCGCGGTGGTGCTCCCGCCGAGGGTTCGGATCCCATATAGAGACCAGTCAGCTCACTGGTTGAGCGTGGTGCGGGTGAGACACCGAGGGTTGCGATCCCATTACCGGTCACGAAAAAAGACAAAAAGGGGGAAATAAAAAAAGGAATAAACAAAACATGCCAAAGGAGCAATAAGAAACATGGCAAAATGTATTTAATGGTTACATTTTATTCCCAAAGCAGATTTAATGTGGCTTGCTTATATACAATAAAACACACATGTAAAATGACTGGCTGAATTAGTTAGTGGCATAGCTTTTGCATTTTAAATATTCTATAGTTAAGCTCCAGACTTCATGAACAATACAGGCAGTAAATGATGGAGTTCAGGACAGAGAAAATGTATCTTGGATGAGTTAGGGAAGATTTTTGAAAGGAGCTGGCACCTATATGAAACCTGAGATTTGGAAAGAAAAGGATTTTCTAAGAGGTGAGGGAACATGGGCAAAGGCCCTCTGCAGGAATGAGCCCAGCAATATGGAAAGGAGCCCTGGAGGGTTTGCTGTCGTGGGCTGCTTGTGTCTGCAGCCTGTTGCTCTTCCTGGGGCCTTGTCTGCAGGCCCCACACTGAGCAGGCTCTTCACTGAGCTCAGACCACAGCTTCTGAGTCCTCGCCAAGGGGAGAACCTGGTGCAATAAGTATCTCTACACTGTTGGAGCACTTTGTTGCTATTAATACTTACATTTTTGCATACGTAGAATGGTTTGTTCTCACCTCCTTAGGGGAGGTGAGACACATTTTGGTGCCTGGAAGTGAGTCACAAATTAACAAGTGAAATGACTTGCTCAGTAGTTTGCCAGTCCAACAGTAAGAAACCTTGCACTTCTTCCTTACATACATACGTAAATAATATGATGGCCAAGTCCCATACTTGACTTGGCTGGATGGTGACAAATGTCCAGTTAGGGAAATCTGCTCATTATCTGTGCATTTCCCATGTGGTTTAAGTTCAGCAAAACAAGAAGGGCATTCCCTTTAAAGCACAATGAAGGTAATAAAGTATTTTTAAAATAAATAAGATAAAAACACAACAGCAACACTCTTCTGAATGTAAAAATGTTTTTCAAGCAACTAATGTAGTGTCAGTGGCTTCTGTAATAGAATAAAAGGCAGTGTGAGTGTATTCCTAAAGTATTTTTAAAATAAATAAGATAAAAACACAACAGCAACACTCTTCTGAATGTAAAAATGTTTTCCAAGCAACTAATGTAGTGTCAGTGGCTTCTGTAATAGAATAAAAGGCAGTGTGAGTGTATTCATCTGATTAATTTAGGTGAAGATCACTTTTAAACATGTGCTTAGGCCAGACTTGATCATGAAGTGTTAGTTAGTGGTTCCCATTGTGAGGCTGTTGACTTCTCAAGCTCGGACTGATTGATTACTTTAAACGGCATCATTTTTGTCCTCCTTTTTAAGCAACTGGAAACTACAATATTGTCAGAGGAAGCTTTTCTCAGCACTAGGAGAGGAAAAGCAGCCTTTTTTAGTATTTTAACAGTGGGCTTTGGCCAATTGAAAAATGGCTCTGATGTGCTTGGAATGAAATCTTCTGCAGTTGTTTTAGCCAGCAGAGTGGTGGCTGCAACAAAACCACAAAGACACTGCAGGGTAAAAGAACCAGAGGTGACAGAGCTGAAGTCAGAGATGTCTGAATATCGTGGGCCAGCAATTACAAACATAGGCCTGCATGCATCATTCCACGACAGTGCTTATTTTCAAATGCCTCATCTCTGGACAATAGACTCCTTATAAAACTCTTACCACCAAAAGAGGAGTTCGGCTGAGTTCCAGTGCAGTCTCAGATCCATTTCATGCTATTGAGCTATAGTAATTGTCAACCAGAGGGTTTAAAAAAGAGAACAGGAAGTCTGTGGTGGCCAAGGCAATTTGTAGTGGTCTGAAAGCATTTAATTCTCAGAAAAGAAATTCTTTGTAACCATATCAATACCCTTAACAAATATGATTCTTTATCGTTTTCTTCATATGTGATCAGTTTAATTTTGCTTCAACAGAGACACATTTAAAAAATCTAAAGTTAGTAAAAGCACCACAATTTTTAAAGTCGAAATTTATGGTGGACTTCTGCTTTCTCAGGCAGATGCTCCAGTGTCATGTCAAAACATAACTAAGGTCAACAGCATATTATAGATGTGCATTATACATGTATTCCTTTTCTTTACCTTTTGTACCTGTGCAAGGTATTAGATGTGCAATAACTGCATACACATTGTAAAATAATGTCTTAGGTTTATTACATGGTTCCATGAGTGTGATTCAGCCCCAGTTGTCTTATTTAGTGAAGAATCAACATCATTTCGTAATTAGAAATTATCAGAAATCACTCACAGGCATTGCACACATGATTAGGCAATTCTTACAACCCCACCTGAATGAATTCCCAGTCTCATAAATTGCAATGAGTATTAGCTTATGTATTTTGGGGTCTATCTTTGCTAGATGACATCACTAATTAGATAGCCATGTGATTATTGTTATTGGAAACCTAAGCCCATATTCCTAAAACTTACCATGAAAAAAAAAGTCTTAAACCAGCTAAATATCCACTCTCTTTTGTTATGCCACAGGGCAGTGATCTTAGTGGGATAACAGGTTTACAGTATAACATAAGTTTAATTTTGAACCTTGTTGCTCTACTCTCCATCAGAGTATTTTATAGCAGCTAATTTAAAAATTTTTTTAAAAAATAAGAAATCAATGGGGGATTCCAGGTGGACAATGAGAAAGAGGAATCTCTTGCATCTTTTTTTATATAAAAATTTTATTATAAAGTAATGGCAGTAATATAGAAAATTTTTTGATTTAGAGAAAAAAATCCCTAATGCTGCCAGGTAGATTATAATACATAATACTCCCTGGAAACCAAGCAAATAACACTGTCTGTCCATAAATTATCTGTCCAAACAAGAAACAAAGTCATACTCTGATAACTGAACTCCAGCAATAATCCCCAATGCTCAATTTAGGCACGGTTCTTAATCTTCTACTCCAAACTTTCAGTAGAGTTTATTCACTGTTTATCTTCTAACAGAGTGAATAACATAAAAGGAGCAACTTGAAGGAGGAAATTCAAAAGGAATTAAAAATGTAAAATGTAAATAATAAGATCCACATTGGCTCTACCACCCTTCACATGGAAAGTGACCACTCCCTGTTCCATCTAAGTGGGACACTTGGTAGCCACAGCTCTAGTCAAGTCCTGGGCAAATGAAGTGGCCCAAGGAGCTCAGTCAGCAGCTGTGTTTTAGGACGAGCATTTATTTTTACATATGATGTATTTAGAATACAGTTTTCTCATTATTTTTCATCCTCTAATCTAGTTTGATTCAATATGACATTCTTCCTCTTTCACAGTGTCAACACCCCATAATTCCCAATATGCATGTGCATGCACACACACACACACACACACGTCACACCCATTCACACATGTACAGACATACACATGCAGACACTACACGCACACACACACATTCACACCACACATACACATTCAAATATAACACACCCTCATGCATTCTATCCCACACCCCCTACACACACTCATTATATATACACTCTCATCCACTATTCACACACACACACACACACACACACACATGCTCGCCCATCCTCATCCTAAACACACGTATATGTTCTCACACACCCTCCATAAATTCAACAAATAATCCTTTAAGCACGCAATTAGGCACTGAGGTTACAGCAGTGAACATAGCAGACAAAATTTCTTGCCCTCACAGAGCTTACATCAGGACTGAAAAGGAAGATTTGAAGAAAAGATGAGTCAGGGATTGGAAGAAAAGGGACAATGGGAATGATGCTGCCCTTGGTCACAGAGCTGGCAGCAGTGACTGTGACCTCAGAAGACTGAACTCCCTTAACCCCTCTCCTACCAGTCTGCTCCAAACTAAGGGTTTTGAGATTCTCCTCTGTTCCAACAATTAATCTAGAAAAATGCCCTTCATCTAAACTAGTTTAAATGAATCTTAGTAACATGAACCCCTGATGAATTGTTTGTGATTTGGGGGATATGCAGTATACAAGATCACAACTGTTGGTACCATGGAGGTTACAAACTCATCATCTTAGCAGCCCTGTAACCACCAAGGTGCAGACTCAAGGAAGCTGCTGGCTGGAGAGGGAAACTTACATTTTAGGGCATTCCGTGCTCCCCGGCTTGATGGAGCTGAAGACATGCAAAGAGTAAACAACCTCTGAATTTCTGTTTTAAATGTTTTGTTTTGAGGTATTTTAATAGAATGTTGTTTGCTTGGCATGGGAGTTGAAAATATTCTGCTTATTTTAACAGACAAGGACACCAAAAACATGACCTATTTTCCTGAAGGTCCAGATTTACTGAACATTCTTTCTTCCCTCCCATCCCTAACTCCTAACTGTGGCTACACACACACACACACACACACACACACACACACACACACACACACACACCTTCTAAAAGGGGCTAAGTTTACTGTGGTGGTATTTAAGAGATTATTTATAATAGAATTAAAATAACTATGAATTTTTATGTTTTCTCCTTCATTTCAAATTTATTTTAGTATTAACAGCAACAATCAAAAGGGGTTTCAAAAGAAATAAGCAAAGTCAAAATATACAGATGCATATATTTTTGTTTTCTGCAGAGAGGAAAACTGAGATTAAAATTTTGAGTTTCATTGATAAAACAGTAACTGGAATAGTGCCAGCAGTGGTGATCAAATAAACATTTATTCACATAAAAGTTTAAATGTCCCTAGAGTTAATTTGGACAGAAATTTTTCTTGTCTTCTGTTTTCCTTAAATGCTAAGATCTAAAACAACTTCTCTACTGTATTTTAGGTATAGTGGTCTGGATACTTTTACATTGGAGGGCTTAATTTCTTTCCATCGTTTTCTCAGACAGCCACAGTGTCTTGGGATATCCGAACATTGTACTCAACAGTACCTGAAGATGCAGAGCACAAAGCAGAAAATTTACTGGTGAAAGAGGTAAATATGATGCTTCCGATCTTTCATTGTATAAAGTTTTTGCTTCCCCCCAGGGAGTTCTCAGTGCAATTTACTATTAGTATTATCTTTCTCTCCTTTCCACTAGAGAATTCCAAATGCTCTGATTAGTTGATGTCTTTCAGCCTTCATCACCTTTACGTGGCTTTCCATCTCCATGGTAATCATTTTTCATTAGCTGGTGACCAAGTTTTAGATTTCCTTTTCCTTTGTTTTTATTTAACTTAAAATCCCCATGTAGAGAAATATTTGAGTATTCTTAACAGAAAGGTTTAATTTTATTTTACTTATTTGGATTGAGTTGTAGGAAAGAGCATTCTACATGAGAACTTTGGATAGCAAAGTTTCTATTTTAAGAGATATATTCCTTTTAAGTACTAACTATGGAAAAGTTAATGGTAAAACCCTGTGGACAGCTTTAAGGATTGATAAAAATCTGTTGATACACTTGCATTCAGTTGGTGTATGAGAGGCTTAGAAAAAGCTTCTTCTAAGCAGACTCCAGGCTGCTTTAGGTCAGGGGTTGGGCCAGCACGTAGCAGCTACTTAGCAGATGTTTATTGAAAGAATAAATCAAGCCACTCCTTCCTTTACAGAAAATGCAGTGGCAAAATTTAGCCCAGCACAGATCAAACTGAAAGTAGTGGAGTCTAAATGGGGTCTTTAATCCTGAGATAGTTGTGTGAGCCAATTAGGATTAAAGCTACAAACAACATCAATACCTTTTCTCGGCTCTTAAACATATTTGTATTGATACTAGCTAGCGTTATTAGGGTACCTATTAACACTAATCTGATTAATTGTGTGTATTTTATGTTGTACTATTTAGTCCACATCATCATTTGCAATACATTTGCCTGTTTATTTTTTCCCAATTTTATTATTTCACATTTATTTTTCAAAGTTCACATTGGATTACAACACCTAAGAAGACAGAAAAAAAGTGCAGACTCAGATAAGATCAGGATATCTGAGAATAGTGTTTTCACATTTACTGATAACAGTAATGTGTGCTATCAGTGCCGTAATATGTCTTAGAGGAAGTCTTGATATCTAGCAGGGCATCACTATTCTTTAAAAAAAGAAAAGTTGACAAATAGTTTTCTATACTAGGAAACCAGAATCATTGCGAATAGGTCTACAAAAATTTTGCAGTAAGTATGTTACCTTAGATGGGACTTGAAATTCTTACGATATTAAATTCCTAGTTAGGAACTTTAACCAAGTCTTCTTTTGTGTTCTCCACTAAAATATCACACTTTCTTCATAAAGATCCTTAACTTTCTTACTAAATTTATTTCTGAATGAATACCTTATAATTTTGTTGCAAATGTGAGTAAGTTTTTAAAATCCATTTTCCTTTCTTAAGGTTAATTGCTGATAGTTTCCAAAAGCTATTGACTTTTTAATATGAATAACTTGCTTACTAAACTCTCTTATTCCAATAGTTTTTATTTGAGTTTTAGGTGTTTAGTCATATCTTCTGCAAACAATTAAAATTTCCTTGTTTTCTAATAAATATATTGTTTCTCTAATTTTTGTCTTATTTTCTTATCTAATTCCAACATCCCTAAACTAATGTTGAATAATAATGCTAATACCGGGCATCCTGTCTTATTCTTGATTTTAGGGGGAGGACTTTAGTATTTTTGATGCTTAATGAAATATGGTATTTTATGTTGATTTCTGGCATCTCATTATCATGTTTTAAAGTGTCTTTTTTAGTCTCTTAAGAGTGTTTATAAACACTGGCTACCCTATGTTATCATATGCATATTCAGTTATTCAGTTTATTGATATAATAGCTTTTTTGCTTTAAGAGAACTAATGGGTTGTTGTCCTATGGATCCACACTTGCATTTTTGGTATAAGCATTCTTATTAAAGTTGCCTAATTACCTTAATACACTATTGAATTTGAATTGCTACTATTTTATCTCAAATTTCTGCATTTATATTTATGAGTTAAATTTGGCTTTAGTTTTCCTTTTGTATTAGAGAAATTCTAGCTTTAAAAAATAAATTGGAACACTCTACAACTTTTTTTAATGTTCTTGAATAAACAAACAAGTGAAACAGAACAGAGTATCTAGAACAGATTCAAGGGCATATAGTTATTTAATGAAGGGTGAAGATGGGTCTGCAAAGTCTCTGGGAAAGGCTGGAAAATTCAACAAATACCATTCAGCTATGCTTTTTGAAAGAAAATAAAGTTAGGTCTGTATCTCATATTACATACAAAAACAAATTCCAGGTGAATAAAAAATACTGTAAAAATGTAGGAAAATATTTTCAAGTGGAAAGTTAGTGAAAATGGACAGATTTAAGCAAATAAAAATTTAAAAATTTTATGATGAATGGTACATCAAAAGAAAATATTTAATTAGAGAAATTATTTGTAACTATTATATCTTTTGCTTAACACACACATATGCAGACACACACACATTCATTCACCCACATAAATAAATACATAGATTCCTAATTTAAAATCCTACCAATTAAGGAAAAGACAACGCAAGAAAATATGAGCAAAAGACATGGGCAGGCAGTTCAAATGAGGAAATGGAGTTGGCCAAGAGGCATGCAAAGTTGTTCAGCCTCACTAGTAGTTATGGAAATCCAAATTAAAATAAAAATTATATATAATATCTGAAGGAAGAAAAATATTAAGATGAATATCACTGAGTGATGGTGGAAATATAGTTAGAGAAATACTATCACACAGTGTTTAAAATACTCACTTGTCTATAATCTTTTGAGATGTAATTCACATGTATCTTTTAAGTAGCATTAATAAATACACACATGCATATTATAAAAACAAACAGCAGGGCATATAGATATAATTACAGGCATGTGTATTGCTGAACTGGACCATCTGGAATATCAGTTAATAGGGGTGGAGTTGAAAAAAGTTGATACAGATGTATTTTGTAAGAATATACAGTCAATAAAAATTATATATATTTAAATATTCTTAATTTGGATGCCCATGATACAATGTTAAAATAAGCAAGTCACAGAATTTATAGTGTGATATAATTAAAGATATAAAACCCATAAATGTATACATAAATATGTTTATAAAAGCCTAGAGAAAGTATGAAAAAATGCAGCACACATCAAACTCATAATATTAGTTAACTCACAAGTTTGAGATCATAAGGCAAATGGAGAGATTAATTTTCAATATATGTAATTCTGTATTGTTGTAGTGTTACAAATGAATTTTTTTTTTTTTTTTTTTTTTTTTTTTTTTTTTTTTTTTGATCGGTGTTTGGTTGAATCAGTGGATGTGGAATTTGTAGATATGGAGGGCAAATTGTATCCACTGTAGCAGCAGCAGTGAGGCTATAGCTTATCCAAATTGCTGTCCTGTTCTCATAAGTCTCCTCCTTTTGATTTTTAAAATAAATTATGTCTAACCACTCCCTTGAAACACCAGTGACGTAATAACTTCGTATAGCATACATTATACGAAGTTATACGATTTTTTGTCTTTTTTCGTGACCGGCAATGGATCGCAACCCTCAGTGTCGCGCCCGTACCGGACTGGGACCGGCAACGGAATCGCAACCCTCGGTGTTGCCCTCGCTCCTCGCTCAGCCAGTGAGCGGCTGGTCTGTATGTGGGATCCGAACCCTCGGCGGGAGCACTGCCGCGCTTCCCAAGCGGCGCACTGTAGCAGTGCGCCACCGGGCCGGCCCGTTACAAATGAATTTTGCAATTAAAAAATATTTTGGAAAAAATGAGTTAGAATATATTATTAAATGCTGCCAGAATTAGAAGCAACTTAGGTCTACACTTATCTCCAAAAGTTAAAACGCAACATAATTCTTCAAGTTATTATTCAGTCACCCAAAAGACTACTTCAGATCCAGTTTTTTTTAACTGTTTTAGTTAGGTAATGACAATGTCATATGGGGCAATCAGAATTTCATATTTGTTTCGCTTTATGATTCTACCTGCTTGGCTTGTCAGTCATAGAAGTCAATTAAGTTTATCTGACATAGTCCATTCTTAATCATTTTTAATGTAGCTACTCTGGATTTATAAATGTTTCTATAATTTTAGTGGCTTTTTATTTCATGGTCTTTTCACCTTTCTGGGTATATAGGGTATTTGTGTAGGCCCAATTTTATAGCGATTCCCTTTTTGCTGTGGAAAGTTGCTCTCACATAAACCAGGGTTCTTAGTGCTTTGCTGTGGGTCTCTGGTACCCAAGGCTTCTGGGCCCTTGGATTTTATTTTATTGCCTTTGAGGTGGGACCAGTCAGCCCAAACCCTAAAACCCAGGACCAATTCGGAATCTTCATCTCCAATCTCTGGATCCACTCAAGGTTTTAAGTTTAGTTACTTTCCCAGAAGACAGACGTCCTGAAAGCAAATGCCTACCACACAAGAGACTTCTAAGGACTATTCCAACGTTCTTAGAGGCCTTTCGATTTCTTTGTGCACCACAACTTCAAATGTCCGGTCCGATCCCTTTATTTCTATAGTTCTCTGAAAATGTCTGCTTTAGCTGAGAGCAGGTTGACCACAAAATTTGCCTTTTTATTGTTATTTCTCCTGGGGAGAAATTTCTCACCTTCTTTGTTCCCACCTTAATTCCCTTTCAACTACTTGAAGCCTCCTTTTCTCACCTCCACTCTCAGCTTTTCACTTCTCCTAAGAACTGCTCTAAGGTGAGACCAAGTAGAGCCCCTTTTACCCTAGATCCCAAGTCTCTGTCCAACTTTCATATTGCAAAACTCAGAACAAAGGATTCAACTCTCTTCTGCAACATGCATGAATCTTGTCATGTTTTTTTCAACTGTATGGATCTAAGGTAGGGGAAAAAAAGAAAGAAAGAAGAGGAGGAAAGCTGTGAAGAAACTATTTTATTCCCTGCTAATTTTTCTGTAACACTAACAGTAAAATCCCTGCGAAATCTCCCATGGTTGTGCTTGATTTTAAGGAAATAAAGTGAAACCTGTGCTT